TATTGTTGTGTAGTAATTTGCCTTTAACAATCTTTTCAATAGAATAAGTCTTATATCCATTGTTTAAAAGCAGGTTAGTGACTCTTTTTAATTCGGCGTCGCGATTTTCAATATCGGAAGAGTGTGTGAATGCCCGGTTTACAAATGATTTTATTGTGCTGTCTTTAAACTTTAGTGAGAAAAATTGAAAAAACGAACTACAAACATATTAACGCCAAACATTCGGTAGAATTTATAGAATATTGTAAAAATTATGGTCTATTATCAACATATATATATATATATATATATATATATATATATATATATATATATATATATATATATATATATATATATAGTTAGAATTTTATACATGAAAAACCTGTGGACATTAATGAAACATCGGGCTGTTCATCTTCTATAACAATATCGTCAAAATAGCTAGCAAGGTTTTCTGTTTTGGTCAGCCGCATTTCTTTTGCTTTATAAACTGGTTCTGAAACTGAACTTTTAAAGTTATTATATGACAGTGAATGGACAAATGCAATAGCCAATCAAACTACTTATAAAACATTTTAAAAGCTCAAACGAGAAAGTAACGCATATTAGCATAATATGAGAGCATATGAACAGTCATAATGTCATTAGCAGACGCACAATATTTAATCAAACTTACATTTTGCATAACACCAACAACCATCTAATGGTCATAATAAAAAAGAAAGCTAAAGTTAAATAACCTTTGGAAGCACAGTTGAAAAATATGATATAGATGATTTCATTAAAAAACAATGCCGCATGCACAGGTGCTTATATGTGTATGTATGTATATACGTACATACGTAGGTATGTAAGTTAATACCAAATTACACTGAACAGTCAAACAAGAAGTAACAAGTGGATTAACACTTTGATTTGTCGTTAATTGCAAACGTCGGCATTCAATTGGATATTTTCAAGCACACAGACATGTATGTATGTATGTATGTATGTATGTATGTATGTATGTATGCATGCATGCATGCAACAGAAAAAAGGGTTCGCCGATCCTGTTTTTCTCCAGCAAAATTATTTTCAATAACAACCGATGGTGTAGTGGTTAGAGGCGCCTAGTTGATCCTGCCTTTGCAACGTGTTACGGATTGTTTTCAGAGATAATTATTATTTTAACTTAAAGCAACATCAGGTTCGTTTAGATATTTGCTTTCGATAAACGAAAAGCTTAACAGAAATCAAATCAACAATTCGATGTTCAAATGAGGATAAATCTTCATTATTCACGGTTCAGTTCGATATTAATATTTTTAATCAACAATACACTACAAAACGATTTTTAATAATACTAATTAATATTACGCTACCAAACGGTTTGTAACATTACTATTAATATTACGCTACAAACAGCTCAACAAACGGTTCTTAATATTACTAATTAATAATACAATACAAAACGGTACGATACGATACAAAAAAATATTATAATATCAATTACGATATCACTACTCCAAACTAATCTTAACACATAATATTATTATATCACGAGACAATAACCCCCATACATACTAAAAAATGTTTATTTCATTCGAATCCAACGCGCCAAGCCCAAAGACCAGGCGCACCAGCATACAACGACGACGCATACAACACACGAGCATGCCCACTATCGTACAACGAGTGCAAATATCACACTAAGAACAATTTTGTGACACAACGACTGGGATCGAACGCATGGAGATTCCTGCCTATCATATGCAATGTGGGTGATGCGTGGTCTTCACGCGTGTTCATGTCGTTGAAACCTCTGAAGCCAGCGTACAAAAGAGTTTGTCCATTTTTAAAGAAAAACAAAGAAAAAGAATTATTAAATTTTAAAATTAATTTTATCAATAATTTTGTATGTGCGTTTATAGCAAAAGAAAAACCTTGTGATATGTTTTTCTCTTGAATGGATTTTGTCCTGCATAAATTATGAAGATAAAATAATTTTAAGGAGTTAGATTTAAAATAAATTAACAAAAACACAGTAACAAAAATTTTGTTATGCAAAAATAAAATTTGGAATCAAATGCAAACCGCATAACTAAATGATATTTGAAATTACTCTTTAGTTGTTATATATGCTTCAATCAGACAATAACAACTTTTAAAAATTTATAAAAATGAATCAAAAAATACAAACATTTGACGCATTGATGTTCGATCTGTTGGTTTGGAACAAAATTATTTCATAGAAGACGAAAAAACAAAAAAAATTTACTTTTTGAAACTTTTGTTATTTAGAGGAGGGGGTTTACTGGACAATAAATTTTCATGATCTTGCTGTCGATTGAAATGAATTAAATTTTGATTTACTGTAAAGTTTCAACGCTATGATTTTAATAACAAAAGCTTAACTTTGAAAAGATTTAGCTAAATTTTAAGAATAAAAGAATAACAAATTTTTTCTGACACCAGCCAAGACGTTCATCCTAAAATTTGTGCACGGTTTCCAAAGGCAAAGGCGCGTAATTAGAGAAACCAAATGCTACGAGTGAATAACGCGATGGCGTTGGCGTTATCTATATATCTATTATGTTATGTTACGAATAAAACTTTCTGGTAGATAATTGCTAATGAATTCCTCCTTTAATTCTATCGCAATAGTATTATTTATCAATTTTAATTTCTCTATTTTTCTAATAATAGGTAGTAATCAATTATTTAGTTTATTAATTAAATAAACAAAATGTTTTGTAATATTCATTTTATTGCTATTAATTTTAAAATTACATTAAAATAAAAATTAATTAATAAAATATATTAAAATCCTGGATTGGTTGGCTTTACATATGCTGATGTCAGGAATTTTTCATAATCAAAAAAATGCAATATAAAATCAATCAAAAAAAAACTTTTATTTTATTTTTAGATACTTAAGTCAAAATTAATGATGAAAAATTCATAACGTCACTATTGTGAAGCCAAACAAGCCTTAACGCGGCCCAAATAAAAACATTTTTTAAATTTAATTAATAAAATAAATTATAAATTATTAGAACAATATAGAAATTTAAATTAATAAATAGCGATAGAATTTAAAGAAATTTGTATACGTAATGTCCTTACATATAATGGTCAAACTTGATTAAATGATTTTGCCCATTTAGCGTTTATTATCTTTGACATCTTGGTGGTTAATGTGTGTGTGTGTGTGTGTGTGTGTAGCTGATG